TCTTATGTAAATGTGAAACGTGAGTTACAATATGTATTTTTCACCTTTGACATAATTGATGTATGTGTGGGCTTTCTATTTATTGTATGAATGGCATGACTTTATATGAAAATCTTGAAAATTAAATTTTTTTTTTGCATGAGCCGACTCATGGTTGATGCGGTCAACGCACACTGAAGCGTTCCCTATTTTTCAAATGTGTCTGTATGCATCGACGCGTGACCTGTTTAGGTCGATGCATCGATGATATACTCAGCCTCTCTTTATATAATTTACATCTTTTATATGTGGTCATTCTCTCTTTTATTTCTCTTTCCTCTACTCTCATCCTCTCAAACCTTAAAAACCATTTCCACTATCAAACCCTAAAACCCCTTTGTTATGGCTTCATCAAGATTAACTAAGAAGAGAACTTTCAGAGGCAACTCTTCTCAAAGACAATCCGACATTTTGGTAACTACTCTATCTCTTCTCTCCGATGATCTTTAGAAACTTATGAGGAAAAGTTTGGTAAGAGGAAAATTGTTAAACAATTTATGCTTTATATGAAAACTGTGGGTCATATGCATCTTCCGGAAGTTATTGAACTGCTTAGGTTTCAGAAATTTCATCTATTTCTAGAATGTGATACTCATTATAATGAATAGCTTGTTAGGTTATTCTATAAGGGTTTCAAGTAAAGTTTGAGGACTTTGAATTTAAGTATAAGATAAATAACAAGACCTTAAAGGTTGATTCTAACCTCGAGAAAGATTTATTTGGTATGTGGCTACAAGAGTGTGATGTAATTAAGATTTCTGACACTGAGTATGCTCCTGATTATGAGTTTAAGACCGCTTTGAATTCCATGCTAAAAGATCCTTTTAGTGGTAGGGTGGTTGCTAGCAATTTGTTTCCTAGGCCTGTGATTACTAGAGCTCTAACTCCTCTAGACATAATTCTCTTTTGGATCGTGTGTCACATTATTCGACCAAAAAAGGGAGGTCATTCCTGGGGGGATAGACATGAAGTTCAACTGGTATATGTGCTCACGCACAAGATTAGGGTTCATTGCCCTTATTATTTTGCAAGTAGGATTTTTATTTGCAGAAATCGGGTAGAGGCAATGCGTTATGTTATCCCTCATTTATTCAAAGGGTTCTAAACCAGGAGAATATTGGTATTCCTGGAATTTCGTATATTGGTATTTCTCCTGATCAAGAATTCACTAAGAAGACTCTCACTTTGATGGGCCATCAGTGGGATCGTAGAATAATGAAGTATATGTATATTATAAGGTGTACATCGGTACAACTTCAGGATAGTGATGAGGAAAAAGACGAGGAAGAAGATGAGGCACAAGAAGAAGAAGAAGAAGATATGGAAGCCACGGAGGAGTACACCCAAGTTCCTCAAGGCAACAATGCTGATGTGTTGGCTCTATCGGAAAGGGTTCAAATTCAACAGCAAGAAAATGCATCAATTCAAAAATGAAAGACTCACCAACCTCTACAATATTGTTCGGGTTCAAGGTGAAACCTTTGATGCCTGCACCATCACTCATGCCCAAAGGTACAACATGCTACATGGCATGTTGCTAACACAAGCTGGTAACTTTGCTTCCTTCACCTCTACCTACATACAACATTTTCCCATCAACCATCCACCAGAGGAACCTCAAAACCAAGGAGATAAGAACATAAATGATTGATTTGTTTTGATGCTTTGTAATGTTTTTTTTGTTGTGATTTTCATCGTTTAGTGTCTTGCCTTTATCTTTGGCTACTTTATTTTCCCAAGAACTTACTTCGTGTTTGTTGCTTTTCTTTTAACTCATTTCGTGTATTGAACTAAATGTGTTGGTTTAATTATTTCACTATTATATGTGTTACACTAGCTTCCTTTTTATGTGAACGGGTGTTGGTGTTTTAAGTTGCAAAGTAGATGATATTTATGCGATTGAGTATTATTTTGTTACTCTTGACCTCGTTCTTTTCTCTTTTTTATGTTGTCAAGGGGGGATAAGAGAATATAAAAGGAATATTATGTAAAGAAGAACTTGCAGATTGGTGTTCTACAGAATGCACAAATTCAAGGGGGCATATTCGGTTAAGGCTCTCGACGAATTGAGGTTAAGGCTCTCGATGAATTGAGCAGAAAATTTTCTAAGGTTTTTCCATCATCAAAAAGGAGGAGTATGTGAGGGCAAAGTCCTTCTATATTTGTTTTATTGATGCCATAATGTTTATTGTTTACTCTTGATCTGGGTTGGTTCTATGGACAAACTTTCTAGTGGAATGGTTGGAATGAAGATCTCTAGAAACATTCATTTTTAGGAGATTTCACTATTTGCATCGACTCAAGCTAGAGTTAGGTCGACTCATAGCTTGAAGAAAATCAATCCATCAAGATCGGGTCTGCATGTGTCGACCCTACTGGTCGAATCACACTGGGAGAAAAATTCTCACTGTTTGTGTCGACTCAAGCTAAAGATAGGTCGACTCACAAATTGAAGAAGATCAATGCATCAAGCTCGGGTCTGCTTGCATCGACTCTTCTGGTCGGCTGACACTGGGAGAAAAATTATTTTTGTTTGCGTTGACTCATGTCCTGTTGCGGTCGACGCATTGCTTCCTCAAAGGTCTTCCTACAATGCTCAGGTGTGCTCGCATCGAGTGAGACTTCTGCATGAGTCAACCGCTTGCTTCTTGCACTCTATTTTCTACTACATCTTTGGTCTTGACTATTTGGTAACACACACACACACACACACACACACACACACACACACACACACACACACACACACACACACACACACACACACACACACACACACACACACACACACACACACACACACACACACACACACACACACACACACACACACATATATATATATATATATATATATATATATATATATATATATATATATATATTGGTTAACATACATATTGTGGGTTAACAAGAAAAGTTGAAAGATATACACCAACTTCTCATCATCTTCATCCTCTCATTGCATTCATCAACAATTAAACATAATATTTTTTGTTGATTAAAGTGCATAGCTGTGGTGATAACGTTCAAATTGAAGATTGATTTCAGATTTGGGTTGAGAATTGAGTGGTTTTTTTTGGAATAAAATCGTTAGGGTTTTGTCCTCCAAGATTCCGTTTGGTGCGGGTTTTTTTGCACACGTCTCTGCTTCATTAAATTCAGCCGAGTGAAAGCATTGAGAAACAATGGGTTTGCTTAATCAATTAGCGATAACCATAGGATTATGAAGAAATATTTGGGGTTAAATTTCTTGCAATCGAAATCAGCCGAGTGAAAGATTTGTAGAACGAAGAGTTCGTGCAATCAAGTAGCGATAACCAGAGGTTTGTCCGAAGAGATTGGCACACTTGGTTTGACTTGAATCAAGGGGAGAGAAGGGAATAATTTCATCATTAACAATTGGATTGTATGTAGCGAAGACTAATGCTTCACTTGTAACACTTTACAACTTAATATCATATATCTCAATTCTAGATTTTTAGAATTTGGAGCAGACGTACCCTACGCGAGGACGAAAAGGGGAACTGCCTTAACAAATCATGTGTTGTTTCTCTTTTCCTATCCTTTTATTTTCGTTTGTTATAATTTGTGTGATATTGATTATTCAATTCATTTTGCCGTAATTGTAGTGATTCAAACTTAGTTTACAATAATCATAGCAATCACTTTGATTGTTATCAAGGAAAATTCATCACTATAATTAAGTAAAATTGAACTTGTTGTGTTTTTACATGTTGCAACTGGTTTTTAAATTAGAGTCGCCACCCTTAATTTTTATTCTAAAGGAAGGGAGTATAAAGGAATAACCCTAAAGTTCAGAGATTCTAGATTTGGACTCGGTTCTAGACGAGGGGAAGGTGTTAGGCACCCCTTATCTACCTTGTTCGCAAGGATACTAGGTTTAACAGTGCGATGTTTAGGAAATAGGGTTTTAATTATTAATTAAGGAAAAGAGTTTGAATTTTAGTTAGCGGGACTCGCAACGATTTTTGATCGTATGCCTACGTATCCTCCTTAGGAGGAATCAAAGTCTCATTTTCGTAGTTCGCGGTTTGTTTGTATTTTTTTATGGATTACCAAATATATTTGAATTTCTCGCATACGTAGTCTAAGAGTGTGAATGGTGGAGTTTGTTTAGACCAAGTGTGCAGTTAATTTAAATATATTCGTATTCCTTTCCGAAAATTAATTGTTCGAATTAATTTAATTTGCGAAAAAAGATTTGGTATTTGGTTGAATATTTTTTATGCGTAGAGCGAGGGAGTCTGATATAGTCTCCTCATCACGTGGCCAGATATTGGCCACGTGTCACTCGCGGATGGAGTATTTGGTTTGTTGCGTGGATTTTGATATGAGATTCAGAATAATAAACCGATAGACGATGTGTCGACCGATTTAATTACTCGAAGATGGACATTCTAATATTTATAAAATGTTGAATTAATTATATTGCAAAAAAAAAGTTTGATTGTGTATAGAATTTGATTTTTTTTAGTATTTTGATGTTTTTTACAATCAAAAGAAAATAAATTAATTAAGTTAACAACAAAATTTTAATAATTAATATTTAAAGGGTGTTCAATAGCACGCTAGGTGGTGTAAGATTAACAAAAGTATAAACAAGTAAGAGATTAGAAACATTAACCCAAAAGGCCCAACTCAAAATAAATCCTAATTTTTAAATTCTAATTAGTTTCTATAGTAATAATAATATATTTATAATAATAATAAATAAAAAAAGTAGTAATATTGTTATAGGAATAACGTGGGAACGTTCCACCTTCTGTATCAGATATTTTTGTTTTTTTGTTTTTAAATTAAGGTTTAACGAATCATAGATTGACACGTGGTACGGAGAATTTTAAATAATAAAATAAATAAATAAAACCCATATCCATCTTTATCCTCGTTTCATCTTTCTCTATGTAGAAAATAGAGAATAACCAAACCCTTTTCTTTTATTTTCCAAAAGAACCAAACAATCCCACAACAACCTCAATCACACATAAACAACAAACTAAAAAAAAAACAAGATTGAAATAGAGAAAGGAATACCGGCGGATCTGGACAGTGACATGCGGTTGGGATCGCGATGAGGGTGCGTGTGAAATAGTTTGATCGGTGACAGATAGTGACGGATTTAGGAACATTGCGACGGAGTGTTTCGTTGCACCAACGCCTTTTTGTGCGAAGGAAAAGAATGGTTCAGTAGCGAAGTTCGTGTAGCAACGCTAGGAGTGTAGTGACAGTTGAGGTCTCGCGGCCGTGAGGAGGAGGGAGTCGCGGTGGTGCAATCATAGGCTTCCGATTTGCCGTATCTCTAAATTTTCTTTCTTCTTTTATTAACAACAACCTGCATGCAAAGAAATCAAAAGGGATGGAAGAAATAGACACACAATCATCAATAATAATAACTGCGATTTAATTCGAATTTTGTGTTTCTGATTCTTTTCACAAATATTGTTCTGTAAAATAAAAAAATACAGGTTGTTAGAAGAGAATTTGGGACAAATTTGTTTTGAAAAGTTTGTGGTTTTGTTGTTTGTGTGGATAACGGAAGAAGGTTCATGAATGATTAGTTATGATATTTGAATCTTGTATATGATAGAAACAATGTTAACGATAATGGTAGGGTATCATACAAAAGTAATACAATTATTGAAGTGCTTGACTACATAGTTGGTTTCTTTGCTTAATACGTATTCTATTAATTTTGGGTTCCATCGAATAAAAAAAGACCGTAGTATTGTGTTATGTTTCTTGTGAAATTGTTGAAGAAAACGCATGATAGTAATTTAGGACAAAATTTATATTTACAGCAAGAAGAAAATATTATAAAACAAAACAACCATCAGACAATATTATTATATGGTTTAAATTATAAAGGATAAAATTGAAAATAATATGGATGAGCCTCATATAGAAATCATCGGCCAAATAATTTTGAAAGAAAATGCATGAAGAAGAAAAAAAATATATTTGAAAAAGGTGTAAGTGAATTATGAGAAATTGCAATTGTGGGTGATTGTTGGTAGAAAAATTGTTGATCGTGGATCTGTGAAAATTATCAATATTTTTGGATGAATTGTGCGAGAATTTTCTGGATATTGTACCTATGTGAGGAAAGTTGTTTTTTTCCTTTATGTAAAAAATATGCACCTATTTATAACATTAAGAATTAAGTTGAAAGATAAAAAGAGAAATAATCAATTTTAATGATAATTAATCCAAATTTAATAACTAATTTAATTTGATTTTTAAAATGTCTATTTTGATCAATTCATTAAGAACTATCCTAAAATAAAATTTTTAAAATATTTTTACTGTATTTCTATTTTTTGTGTATTTGATGCACACATTCATGATTTTAATGAAAATAATGATATTTTAAAACATGATTAAACAAAAAACGAAAATTAATATTAAATGTTTATAAAAAAATGTAATTTTGACTTTTTGTGATTTTTTTTAATAAAGAAAATAGAAGAGAACTTAAAGTTAGTAAAATAGGAAAAAATTTAGAATGTCAAAGATGAGATTCAAACCCACGATCTTATATTTACAAGCTTCATTCCTTACCAATTGTGCTATGTTATTTATTTGTAAATAAACTCAATTGAAAGTATATGAAATGTATGGGAATATTTATTTATTCAAAAATACAAATGATCTGAAATAAATCATTATATTTTTAAACAGGTTTGGAAGTGAATATTTTATAAAAATAAAATGATATTTTAAAATCAATAATTAAAATATTTATTACTGTTGAAATAAAGGATGGGCAAATTTGGGGTATGACATTACACACCAAGTGTTTGATAAATTGACTAACACACAAATTAGTGATTTTGTCAAGTCTTATCTTAAATTGTTCATTAGAAGTAGAAAATACTCATTGTTATTGTTTAAGTGATTGATTAGTAAGTAATCATATTGATTCATCTCTCATCATAAGATCTCCATACAATTTCGCATATCCGATCTTTTCAATAATGGATCGTTTAGACAATTTTGATTCAGGAAATTTTCGCATCATTTAAAAACAAATTTTAAAGCGCAATTTTCAAATAAAGGATCTATTCAATCCCCCTTCTAAATCCGTCTCATAGTCTAATAAATAGCTCAAAAAATGAAGATGAAACCGTTAACATCATATTTCTTACGTTGCCTAAAGCTTTGAGCCAACTCTGATGAAACAATACCCAACAACAATGTGGAACTTGGTCAGACCGTAGTTATCCAAGAACGGCTACCGACAAAATCAAAATCGATGAAGTAACTGAATCAGGTTGTTTTTTAAACCAAAATTATTCAAATTAGAACGAGTCCCACACTTTAAATGTTCATAAGAGAATCGTACCATGATTAGGAGGGGAGAAAACACAAATTGGAGGATCTACTTAAATTAGAAAACTATAATTAAGCATTATATAGTTATGAAACTCAATAGTTACATCTGCTATAACTTTTAACCAATACATTCTCTGGCTTCAAGTCACAAATGTGTCAGTCCAAGGCTATGCAAAAATTGAAGTGCTTCCCAGAATGGTGATTGTCTGCCCAAGTGAATTCATAAAAGTTATAGAATAACAACAGATAAGATTAAAATTAGACATTTTGATGTAAAAATGGCACACCACAAAACTGCAATCTCCACAAGTTTGCCTTTTTAAGCAGTTCACATGTTATTAACAAATGTTCCAGCATTAGAATAAAGCACTAAAATCAACTGACCAGAACAATGCTGAACTATAGATAAACAGGACATTAGTAAACATATTCGGTGACACAGTATAAAAAAAAGTCCATAGAAACAAAAATGAATAAATAGGAGTAAAAAATACGTTTTGAGAAAGCTTCAATTTCTTTAAAAAAATTGGGAAAGGTTTCAGTTAAGGTGATGGAAAGGAATCGCGTGTTAGTGTTTCAATGGCTGGAGGAAAACGATTGCAGTTTAAGGAGTAATATCGTATGTGCGCCGGCGTTTGCGTTTTAGGGTTTTACAGCTTCTTGTTTTCATTTTTCCTATTATACCCTTTATTTATCAACAATGTTTTCGTATGTAATGAAATTTTATTCACAAAGTTGTTCTCAGAAGTGTAGACTAGTTATTTCGTATGACAGCCGTATTAATATAATTTATTGCAAAATTTAATTAAAATAACCAAATTAAGAATTACTATAATAGATTTGAAATAAATAAGTATTAAATTAATTGAATTACAATGTGGTAATTATTAAAATTACTAGCTAATTATATCAAAAGAATTAATCAAGTTAGCATTGTACAATTAATTTTTTTTATCACAATATTGTACAATTAATTTTTAGTTTGCATTAAGGGTGGAAATGGGTTAGGCTTTGTAAAGTCTGAGTCTACTCTACGATAAATTTATAAGGTTTAAGTCTAATCTACGATTTATCATAGTCTCATTTTTTTAGTTTGTCCAATCTTTTTAAAGTCTGACCTGATCTGAAAGTCTATTTAAAAGTTTATTTCTATTTAGAGTTTTCAATAAATCTATATTACTTAAAGAAGTATTATAGATCGATCGATCTATCTATATATATATATATATATAAAAGATTTCATAGATTTTTTAATAGTTTAAGTCTGATCAATTTAATTAAATAGGTTTTTAAAAGTCTAAGTCTAACCTTTTTAATAAATAAGTCTGATCCGACCTAATCTCAAATTTATTTTTAAAGATATAATAAAAAATGAAAATAAAATAAAATTGTCTAGCCAAAAAGTTTATTATTTCTAAAGAGATCATAAATTTGTTTCTATACTTTTTTTTTTTGTATATAAAAACATTTGAATCAATATTATAATGATTCCTATATATAAATAATTTTGGTTTGAAAATATTTATAAAAATTTTTAAACCAATGATAAACTTGTTTATGATATTATTTAATATTTAAATCAATAGCTTATATCAGTATCATATGCATCTATCATATCAGTACATGTGTGTTTGCAAGAGTATTTGTGTGATACACATGCTTTTGTTTTTAAAATGTAGATAAGAAAAATAAAATTGTTTTACTTCAATAATATATATTTTAATTTTTCATATATCATCTTATAAAATATTTTATCTTAAATTAAAATATTTTCAAAATAAAAATATTAGTAACATAAATAATTAAAAAATAATTTATTTTTATTGTATTTGGATTCATACATTATATATATATATATATATATATATATATATATATATATATATATATATATATATATATATATATATATATATATATATATATATATATATATATATATATAATTTTTTAATTATACAAAAAATATAATAATCCGTAAGTTCGCACAAATTCTAATCTGAACATACGTGCGTTCGCACCGGTATTGGTGTGATATGCACACTTTTATTTTTAAAATATAATAAAAATGAAATAATTTAAAGTGAAAATTGTTTAATCAAAAAGTTTATTATTTTTAAAAGAGATAATAAATCAGTGCCTATAATTTTTTTCATATATAAAAATATTTGAATCAAAAATACATTTTTTCCACTATATAATTTTTTCATATATAAAAATATTTGAACAATTTTTTTTTCATATATAAAAATATTTGAATCAACAACTTCATTTTTTCCGTTTCATATAATTTATATATTAGAAGAAAACAAAATTTATTAAAATTTTAAATAAATATAAATTTATTCTAATTAATATTAAAACTTCAAGCAAACATCAAATTTTGAAATTTAGTTTGAAATTTCAAATATTTATATTGAATAAAAATAATTGTTTTAATTTGGTATTTTAAAAAAAATGATAAGTTATGAGATAGTCAAAATTTATTTTCTATTATTGATCATCATCAAAAATATTGATAACAATAAAAATTTTAAATTTAGAAATAAAAATCATATATTAAATCATTAAAATATTTAAATTAACAATTTTTTTTTTCATTTTTATATTTTAATTAATAGTTTTATTTTTCCCATTTCAAATTTCAGAATTATACAATATAGAACTTGAAGTTTTAATGAGTATATAACTCCATACAAAAATTTTCTTGTACATAGAAGTATGTTTTTTATTCTTATACATTATTCTTGTGTTGTATATAACTATATATTTTTAAATATTTGATTTCTAATTAATG